GGCCAAAGTTTTCAATACCAGCTGGCCAAATTGCTGCGAATCGAGAATGGTACTGAAATGCCAACAACTAACAACTCGTACGCAGGCAAATTAACAATCATCGCGTCATATAGGACCAGTAACAAGGATCGCGGAATGTGCTAATTTTATTAGGCCCGTGACTGCATGGCAGCAACTTCTTAAGCATACTGCACCCCCGTTGCCCACAGCAGTCTTATCTGCGATTGTCTCTAATGAGAGGTTTGAGCGAGAATCCGAAACGTCAGGCCAATAAACGCTATGTTCCAGCGATCGCATCTTCTTCTCCTGAGCTGCTGCCTGGAATTCGCCTATTCGCTTCTACCTTATATTTGTTTGTTAGCTTTATTCCTCGAGCCTTCAACATTAACATCCGAGGATGCCTAGATGCACTAAACCTTCGATAAGCTAACTCCTATTAATTGGGTGAAAATTTAAAGCCCTCTTTTTGAACATGTTTAACTGCTGAACTGGTCTCGACACTGATGACAGTCAAAGATTATAGAGGACATTTGTACATTTGAACTCCATGGGCAGCGGAAGGAACAGCTCCCGTTTCGCAGGCCAATGCATTCAGTCTAGGCATACAGATAATATTTCCTTCTCAAGAAACATTTCTATTGCGAAACAGCTGAGGCTATTTTAGCAGAACAAAACATGTCCACTACTACGAAATAAGTAGACAGTTATGCGAAATAAGCGGTAGGGAACCCGAAACGTAACTGTAACTGGGGATTTTATTGAGATTAGTCTTGCTGATCCCACTGAACCCTGTTGGGGGAATGAGTGTATGGAGGCCAGATGGAATGTGATGATGAATGCACAACAGTGAATAATTAAGAAGGGGAGGGGTCATTGTGAAAAGTGCGTTAGGAATATCCGCATCATAATCTCTAGTGCCTCTTGCAGTTGAAACCATGAACAGTTGACTATATGTGATACGTACTTTAGCTGCGATTAGAATATGACAATCAGAGACAGAATGATACACAAGGATAGCCTGGGAAACTACAGAGTCACGTCAATATAATTTCCAAGTGTGAAGGATTTTCCTTCTGTGCAAATGTCGACGGATGTGAGACACAACGAGGGACACAAAGTCAAACGTATTTGAGGAGTTCGAAGGTCTTCGGAGGGGATGAGAGATGTTCATTGGAACTCCACAATTTGAAATGCGGCCGAACACGCGAATGCTGCCCTTGCTCTGCCTTCTAATCTCGTTTTCCATATGGCTTTGAGGAGTTACTTGAGCTGTGGAACACAGGAAGGCAATTTGAGAATATTTAATGCGGAATGGGGACGTGGAGACGTGGAGAACTTTGTACTCAAAATGAGTCTCTAACAGAAAGCCAATCGTGTCAGTACACTTCTGTGTCTTCTGGGAGGTAAGTAACGAAGGGTCTAGCTACAGCAGTGTTCAAGAAGTCCATTTAATTGTCAACTCATATCAACTGACATCTGAAAGTCTAGCGGGCAGGACTCGGTGTTCTTGGTCCCCACCCACTGCCTAAAGGTCACACAACTTCCCATTATGCTGTTTTGAGCTCCAATCTGACCCATTCTCTATGACTGGCTGGGGGAACATAAGTTTCACTCCATGTATTCATGTATGCAGCCGTCGCGGAAATAATTTCGGATTTCTGCATTATTCAGTAGAACTTTTTATGGGATGCAAACAGGTAAGTAGCCTGGCGAGTTTTCAGGACTATTTGGAGTGCCGAAAAAGCCAAAGGAGACTATGCTGGGCATTTCTGATTGACTAGCCATCATCAGCCGGCCATACTAAACTCCGGATGTTGCAACACCCGAGGCTCCAGCCCGTGACCTTTTGGTTAGAAGTCCACTGCTCTAACCGTTGAGCCACGGGCCGTAATGTTAGCGTTCTTCTGCCTACACTACTGTATGTATGTATGTATGAATGTATGTATGTATGTATGTATGTATGTATGTATGTATGTATGTATGTATGTATGTTTGACCATCGATTTCGATGAGGTCTACCAAGTACACCAACAGGTTGGTACAGAAGGTGACGGTCTCAGGCTTTAGCTTTAAAGTG